TAAAGCGCAAACTGTTGGCACTATATAAATCCTGTATAATAATTATAATATTGAATATTCACACCAAATTTAAGGTCTTGATCACATCATCCTAAACAATGCAAACTGTAAACAGTAATATCATCAGTACATCTAAGGAACAGATAGCAGCTAACAGTGACCTGATTAAACAATGATCTAATCAACAGCCAAGCACCCAGCCCAGTCAGAGAGCCCACCCCAGACAGTCTGTTAAGATCTCCATGAGTTCTACACCTTGGATTCTAGCATAAAGCTCCACTGAGGAGGGGGGGTCTCTTTTTTTTTCCAATAGGGGGCCACCAAGCATCTTGTTGCCATAAGTATGTGGCAAGCTAACTTTTTGGTGTTGGGGTGAACAAACCCAAGAATAATAGATTAGGGGTGAAAGGAACAGATGTGTCAGGAGACTAGTCAGCTACTGCTCATTCCTATGCAGCTTATGGTCGTGCACATGTACCAGCAGACAGACGAGCCCAGGCTAATACCCAGCATGCACTGACACGTAGGCATCGGCATAGACGTCATCCTGCATTGGTGCTAATCTGCCTGTTTAAAGGATACTCTTTATTTACTCTGTATTTAATTTTCATGCTGCCCTAGGCAACACAAAAAATCGTCTGCCCCCCCCATGGAGAGACCCTGACACCGACTAACACTCCATTCCTCCACAAAGAGAGCCTGACATTGACCAACAAAACCCCAGCCCCCCACCCCAGAGAGCCTTCCACTCCCCCCACCCCCCATACACTTACAACCCACCACCCCGGAGAGAGAGAAGACATTCACCTTCACAGCTCCGGACATCCCCGGGACAAGAGTCAGGCTTTGCATGCACCATCAAGCAGCCCACAGCCTCTCTCAGATCCCACCTAAACCCCATGCTGCCTGTGTCTCTTCTTCCATCCCTTATTTCGGGGGGCCCCTGAAAAATGCTGCTGCCCCCCTGAAAAATGCCACCCTAGGCAAATGCTTTGTTTGCCTTGTGGTAAATACGCCCCTGGCTGTGTACTAATTGCTGGATGTTCTTCAGCTTTCTGTGATCCATGTTCTTGTGTTCCTGTTTGTACTGACTGATCTTCCGTTGCTGACACAGCCAGGGGTGGACTAACAACTCATGGGGCCCCCGGGTAATAGGAAATCATGGGGCCCCTGTGTCCTTGCCCAAACTTCACCCAAAAAAGCCTATGAAAGGTACCAGGGGCATCTCATGGGGCCCCCTACTGACCCAGGGCCCTCGGACAGTGCTCAAATGCCTAAGTGGTCAGTCCGCCCCTGGACACAGCTTGTTCCTGACCTTGCTCTGTGGATCCTGGATTCTGACCTTGGATTACTAGACCTCACCCTGCTTGATAATCTGGTACCCACCCCAGCCTGCCTCCTGATCATGCTGTTTTCTCCCTGCGTATGACCCTGGTTCACCTTGATTACATCCCTGTCCATGGCAGTCACGGGCTATCAAGCAATCGGCACCGGTGCTTCTTTGAGCCTTGCACCTCTGTCACCACATTCGGGGGTGCTCGGACCAGAGCCACAAGGGAGGCCCTCTCTTCAAATCCACCTCCGACTAAGGAACATGACAAGATGTATCGGGTAACCATAGCAACAAACGGGCATCCGATTGGCACTATATATGGATAAGAGAGCGGCGTTCCTGTTGTGACATGTCCAGCATCGGTCACCTGACGTGGGATACTGTAAACTGCATGAAGGATTGCTGGTATCATGTACCAAAAGTAGAGAATTTTATAAGAATTCTCTGTATAAAGTGTACATATTGAACTTTTTGCAGCGTGAAACCATACAACCTGCCATGCCTCCGGGGTCAACTCAGCCAAAACCCTCCCCCACTTGTATATGTAGGAATGGGAATTTTGTTTGCGTATGTAAGGGGAACACATTTAATATCTTATAGATATCTGAGATTAGGCCTTTTTGAGATGGTCCTGATAGGACAAGTCTCTCAAGGGGTGTCAGCTCAGAATATTGAAGGCGGTGATGATGTAGCTACACATATTCAAATGACATTTCTTCTGGTTCAAACTTTTTATGGACAAAAGTTAAAAGACAAACAATGCACAAAAAAGTTACATAACATTAAAAAGGAAAGGTATAGGGATGGCCTGACATATGAAGCTTGACTAAGGGCCCATGCAGGGGCACATGAGAAATGATGCTGCAACATAAATATAACAACACAGGCCAACGTTCCATTAATTTGCACATTAGGATAGTAAGAGAAAATAAGGGGCACCAGTGTCTAAGACAAAGCTAGTACCAGTACAACACAGGTGGGCCCCATGAGCCTAGGATAAGTATATGAACTAAAAACCAAACATCAGAACCTCAACAAAGAGCTCGGCAAAAGGAGAAGAGCTGATAGAGCAACATGGCACCTCGGTGACTTGTCCCTGTACCGAAAAACAATACAAAAATAGGACCGCTTTTATGTTACATGAGTAAAGTAGTAGGTAGATGAAAGCAGGATAAAGGGTCAAGGAAGAAGAGGGGAAGAAGAAAAGAGAGAGGGGAGAGGTGGGGAGTCCTGAGGAGGGGAGGGTGCCATAGTAAGCACAATGAGTTTCCAAGCCAACTTACAGTGGGAGTAGGAGGGACTCATCAAAATTGGGGGGGAGGTAACTGTGACAGGAGTCACTTTGGGTGGGGGGGCCCATGGAACATAGCTCACTTTAGAAAGGTGGGGAGACCCCTGTCTCAGCTCCCCATATCCCTCTTATGTGTAAGTCACCCTGTGCCTGTTAGTGGTGCAGGTTGAAATGTCCTGCTATTGTGTAGACATGTATAGGTGGGGTGGGGGTTGTTCATTGTTTAATGCCATGTGGTTGTCCCATTGTTCTATTATGTGCCTTGCTTGGGAGCAAACTATTATGGGATGTATGTGTTTGTGTATTGGCTTGGTGGGGGGTGTCTGCTGTGTGTCTCTTGTTACTAAATGTATTTCCTCGCCCTGTATGTATATATCTTGTATCTGTGTTAAAATAAAGCAGTCTATTTCCTGACTAATTGCAAGGGTGGGGTCCGTGAATAATGTTCGGACAGGGAAGCAGGGGGAGTCTAACGGAAATACCCTAGTGCAGTCGGGGTCCGGTTCCGTTACAGTAACATGCAACCCAAAGACTACCAAATTGCATTTCTTACAATTAAAGAGTATCTGTCATGGTAAAATCATGGGGGGGGGGTGCCATTGCTAAACTCTCCTTTTGAGAATGTCAGTTTCTTGGCTGTCACTACAATGCTTTGGCTTCAAATCTGCCTCATTCTTTGAACTGAAACAAGTATAGAGATAAGGAATTCCGGCAATTTTCTGATTCTTATTTACAGCATGTGTGTATAGACTGTAACTGCACCTTAAGAACTTTTAAAGACACTGCGTGCTGGCTTCAGGAGATCATCAAAGACTTTCTTCTGGCTTCAGGAGATCATCGAAGACTTTCTTATGGCTTCAGGAGATCATCGAAGACTTTCTTCTGGCTTCAGGAGATCATCGAAGACTTTCTTCTGGCTTCAGGAGATCATCGAAGACTTTCTTCTGGCTTTAGGAGATCATCGAAGACTTTCTTCTGGCTTTAGAGATCATGGAAGAACAGAGCTGCACTCCATAGAGTCACACCATGAAGTTTAAATAAAGCAGTTGACTTCCAACACAGTCCCCACCTGCAGCCATACAGTGAGGGCCCTTATTGAAGGTGGGGACTGTGATGGAAGCCAACTGCATTGATGAAACGTCATGGTGTAAGTCTATGGAGTGAAGCTCTGTTCTTCCATGATCTCCTAAAGCCAGCATGAAGTCTTTGATGATCTCCTGAAGCCAGCAGGCCTTGTCTCTAAAAGTTCTTAAGCTAGACACAGCCAGGAAACTAGCACTTTCAGAAGAAGGTCTGCAATAGCAGCCCTTGTATTTCTAACATGACAGAGTCACCGCTTCCTCCAAGCATTGGCTAAACAATGAACCAATCCCACCGCCCATCCCTGTGATGTCACCAGACTGTATGCGGAGTTCTCACATCTCCTAATTTCCCCCACATATCTTTATACAACCTTTTTTTACACATATTCCAGCATGGAGGGGCTCAGTGAAGGTGGTGGTGAAGGTCTTATGGCTTTAGGAGATCATCGAAGACTTTCTTCTGGCTTTAGGAGATCATGGAAGAACAGAGCTGCACTCCATAGAGTCACACCACAATGTTTAATTAAATCAGTTGACTTCCAACACAGTCCCCACCTGCAGCCATACAGTGATGGCCCTTATTGAAGGTGGGGACTGTGATGGAAGCCAACTGCATTGATGAAACGTCATGGTGTGACTCTATGGAGTGAAGCTCTGTTCTTCCATGATCTCCGAAAGCCAGCATGCAGTCTTCGATGATCTCCTGAAGCCAGCAGGCCTTGTCTCTAAAAGTTCTTAAGCTAGACACAGCCAGAAAACTAGCACTTTCAGAAGAAGGTCTGCAATAGCAGCCCTCGTATTTCTAACGTGACAGAGTCACCACTTCCTCCAAGCACTGGCTAAACAATGAACCAATCCCACCGCCCATCCCTGTGATGTCACCAGACTGTAAGCGGAGTTCTCACATCTCCTAATTCCCCCCACATATCTTTTATACAACCTTTTTTTACACATATTCCAGCATGGAGGGGCTCAGTGAAGGTGGTGGTGAAGGTGTGGAGGTGTCGGATTGGGTCACACAGTTCATAAAAGGAAATCTGCCCGGCCTCACAATCCAGATATATCCTGACTCTGGTACTGGAGAAATTGTCAGCAAAGGGGATCCATCTATTGCCATCCATCATAGTATAATGAAAACCATTTCTTTCAAAACCCCAGGACTTGTCATTACGCCCAATCAATGAATTACTTGCCTTCCTGTCTATACTGGGGTAACACATCCCAACTCTGCCATGAAATGTTTTACCGATATCCACTTCCCAGTAATGTTGTCCTGAGAAGAAACTTTGACTGCTTAACACCTGAGGATGCCACTGAAACCTCTCTGGTGTTTCTGGGAGTTTCTGATATTTATCTGACCAGGATACAGTTTTCCTGTCATCTGATATCTGTAGATAATTATTAGCTGTGTTTCCATCCAGTAATATGTCTGCAGCCCCCTGTAGATAGAAGTATGCATTTACCTCTGTTATTATATCAGATAAACCTGTGTGTAAGACCCCCGCCACATCCAGCCCCCCTCCATCATGGAGGAGTTCCTCATGTCTCTCTCTGTCCTCATTATCGCCATCCTCAGTATCACACAAGTCACCTGTGTCTGATTCCTGTAGGACAGTCAGTGGATCCATCATGTTACACATCTCCTCAATGTCACGTATCTTCCTGGACTGCTTGTACTTCTTTGTTTCCAGATCCCGGATCAGATCTGACATGGAGAGTGTGACCTGCTTTGTCCGCCCGGAGATTTCCCTCAGGACTCTCTTCTCCAGGTCTTCCAGACGTTTCCTGAGATCTCTAAACAGGGCAGTGACTTTCTCGGTTTCACCAGCTGCTTTTTCCTCTACTTTCCTCCTGTGTTCCTGCAGACTCTGGACTCTTTCCTCCATCTCCTCTTTCATTGCCAGAAGTTTCTGCAGAACATTCCTCAGTATCTCCTTCTTCTTCTCAGAAGCCTCATCCAGGAACTCCATCTCATGTTCTTTCTGTTCTCCAATCACATAGCAAGAATCACAGATACAGGTGTCATCCTCAGTGCAGAAATAATTCAAAATGTGGTCATGGACGCAGCATTTATGTTTCTCCAGGGACAATGTGTTGTCAGTTAAGATCCGTTCTGGTGTCTTTTTTTGGACTCCAGAGACCCTGGACTTCTCCTGATCTGGCTGAGCAGACAGGAAATTCTCCACTATGTTGCACAGTGTTATGTTCCTGTACCATGCAGGCCATTCCTGAAACGTCTGTCTGCATTCAGGACAGGAATATCCTCCAGACCCCCCCTGTGTATCCAGCACACAATCGATACAGACCCGGCAGAAGTTGTGTCCACATATCAGCATCACAGGATCTGTATAAATGTTCTCACAGATAAAACATTCCAGCTCAGCTCTCAGATCAACAGCCGCCATTGCTGACAGCAAAAGAGAAATGAAATGAAAAGTCTCTGACATCAAAAATGTGGTTGAACCGGTTACAACTTGACTGTAAAGGGTGCAGCTAAGTTGCTCTCTCAGTTGATTGAAAGACTTTCTCTGGAATTTTCAAAGCATACATAGACTTATGGAAACCTCTGTGGGTGGTAAAGACAATTTTATGGTTAGAACGAGGGCCGTTTTTATGATCTGACCTACTGTTGGGTTAATTTATAGTGTAGAGTAGGAGAAGATTAGAACCCTATCACATACCTGGTGCCAGAGGCCAATGGAGAGAGGGCTTCCCTTGTGGCTAAGTTCCAGACTCCCCTGGAGATGGGACAGAAGGAGTCAGGCCCAAAGTAGCACGGGTCACCTGTAGGAGTGCTGGTCAGAGGTACACCCAGGAGCACGACTGATGCACTGGAATGGTGTCTGCAGAGAGGTGGCCCCTGAGAGAGGTATGCAGGCCTTCAGGGTAGCAGAGGACCACAGAGTAGTCAAATCAAAGCCAAGGTCAGATGCCAAGTGGAGATTGGAGCAGACATAGTCAATAGGATAGCTGGGGTCATACACAGGAGAGCGAGTGAGAATATCTATTAGCCAAGCCAAGGTCAGATCAGGAGAGCGAGTGAGAATATCTAGTAGCCAAGACAAGGTCATATCGGGAGTCAGGAAGAGAAGACAGGTCCAAGAACAAGCCAAGTCTGTAACAGGAGATCACAGTAGCAAGGGAACATGGACAAGGTACTGGGGAGCCAGAGATAAACAAGCAATTTTAGGGATTGATGGGCTTCCTAATAAAGGCCGTCTGGTGCCAAACTGAGCTAATGTGTGCGTAACTATGTTCTGGCTCGCATCTGTGTGCCAATGCACATAGATTTTCACCAGCGTGCATATCTGCGGCCATGCAAGGTACTGGCAGGAATGCCAGGTCTCCGAGTACCTCTGCTGTGGACAGAGCCCTGACAAACCCCCTGCCAGCAACCAGTTTGTGTCCTTGTTGTAGATGTTCCCTCACTTCCTTTCTGGACAGGAAGTGATGGGAAATCAAATCTCTAACTTCTGAACCTCCCACACTTTATGGAAGAGCACAGAGGTACCAATTAAATCCACTGTACATATGTGCACCTCCAGAGTCAGTTTAGGAGACATCTCACATGACCAGAGCAGCAAAAGAATTCTGGGAACTCTCCACCTCAGCCTTGCGTGATTTACTAAAATATTCAGGTGGTCTAGGAGAGGGTTCATTACATTATATATAATATAACCGTTGTGTGGTCCACGAGCCGCACAGTCCATGGCAAGGCAAGATCAGATTTAACCCACTGCACAACTAAGGTGCCCCTGATGATGTCATTTACTATGAAACTGGTAGGGTTGACCAAGATACACACTACTGAGCATGTGCAAAGGAACGGAGGCCATCTTTGATGCTGGAATTCCATGTTGATGTACCATGCGCTATGCCGTGTTACTTCTGGATATTTGTAAGTGCCTTGACTTAATAAATTCCTATTTTATGGGTGGTTTTATGTCATGTGGAGTGTCTCTTATCATATGTGCGCAATGGGATGAGTGTCCACCAGTGTCAAGTAATGGGAAGAGTCTCCACCAGAGTCAAGCAATGGGAAGAGTCCACCAGAGTCAAGTAATGGGAAGAGTCTCCACCAGAGTCAAGCAATGGGAAGAGTCTCCACCAGAGCCAAGCAATGGGAACAGTCTCCACCATAGTCAAGGAATGGGAAGAGTCTCCACCAGAGCCAAGCAATGGGAAGAGTCTCCACCAGAGTCAAGCAATGGGAAGAGTCTCCACCAGAGCCAAGCAATGGGAAGAGTCTCCACCAGAGCCAAGCAATGGAAATAGTCTCCACCAGAGCCAAGCAATGGGAAGAGTCTCCACCAGAGTCAAGCAATGGGAAGAGTCTCCACCAGAGCCAAGCAATGGGAAGAGTCTCCACCAGAGTCAAGCAATGGGAAGAGTCTCCACCAGAGCCAAGCAATGGGAAGAGTCTCCACCAGAGCCAAGCAATGGAAATAGTCTCCACCAGAGCCAAGCAATGGGAAGAGTCTCCACCAGAGTCAAGCAATGGGAAGAGTTTCCACCAGAGCCAAGCAATGGGAACAGTCTCCACCAGAGTCAAGCAATGGGAAGAGTCTCCACCAGAGTCAAGCAATGGGAAGAGTCTCCACCAGAGCCAAGCAATGGGAACAGTCTCCACCAGAGCCAAGCAATGGGAAGAGTCGCCACCAGAGCCAAGCAATGGGAAGAGTCTCCACCAGAGCCAAGCAATGGGAAGAGTCTCCATCAGAGCCAAGCAATGGGAAGAGTCGCCACCAGAGCCAAGCAATGGGAAGAGTCTCCACCAGAGCCAAGCAATGGGAAGAGTCTCCATCAGAGCCAAGCAATGGGAAGAGTCTCCACCAGAGCCAAGCAATGGGAAGAGTCTCCGCCAGAGCCAAGCAATGGGAAGAGTTTCCACCAGAGCCAAGCAATGGGAACAGTCTCCACCAGAGTCAAGCAATGGGAAGAGTCTCCACCAGAGTCAAGCAATGGGAAGAGTCTCCACCAGAGTCAAGCAATGGGAAGAGTCTCCACCAGAGCCAAGCAATGGGAACAGTCTCCACCAGAGCCAAGCAATGGGAAGAGTCGCCACCAGAGCCAAGCAATGGGAAGAGTCTCCACCAGAGCCAAGCAATGGGAAGAGTCTCCATCAGAGCCAAGCAATGGGAAGAGTCGCCACCAGAGCCAAGCAATGGGAAGAGTCTCCACCAGAGCCAAGCAATGGGAAGAGTCTCCATCAGAGCCAAGCAATGGGAAGAGTCTCCACCAGAGCCAAGCAATGGGAAGAGTCTCCGCCAGAGCCAAGCAATGGGAAGAGTCTCCACCAGAGCCAAGCAATGGGAAGAGTATTTTGAGGTGGCAGAAGCATAGACTCCTCCCAGCAACATGGAACACGTATGAAAACATATACATATAAAGTCTCCTAAGGCCACAAGAACATTAAACATCTTGGTGAAAAAAAAGTATTGTCCCAAAACTAGAAAGAAACAAGGGTCAAGTCCCACTAAATAAATACATTTTAAGCAAATTTCACCTAATCAGCTAAAGCAAGAATTAGTAATCTTTAGATCTATACATTTTGATACCAATTCCATTTTTTAATAGTGGTAAAAATTGTAACCTTGCAGTGAAGTCAGTTTTTCACAAATCACTTCCTTCCTTCATTTTTTAATAGTTAACTGTGGGTGTCGGGGATGCTTTAAAATTTTAAAAATTTTCAAATGTAATAACTAAAAAATAAATTGTAAATACATTTTTAAGCAAATTTCACCTAAACAGCTATAACAAAACTGAATTTTTTTTTCTTACATTTTAATAACAATGGACATTTTTTTTATAGTGGCGAACTGTGGGTGACGGGGATGCTTTCATTTTTTTTAATCCTTAAATGTAATTCTTTAGAAAAAAATCTAAATACATTTTTAAGCAAATTTCACAGAATCAGCTAAAGCAAGGCTAAGCTCATTTTTATTCTTACACATTGTGATAACAATTATATTTTTTTAAGTCAAGTCAGTTTTTCTGAAATCACTCCCTTCATTCTAGCATGTCGGATTTAAAAAAACACAGCGATCTTGACCTTTCCAATGACAATGTCATCAATCATCTACAAAGCCGCCTAATCCATTGTAGACACAAAGAAAGTCCCCCTCCCCCAGCCTCACCTGTTCTCCAGGTGTCTCATTTTTAAATGTAATTCTTTTAAATAAAAAATATTTTAAGCAAATTTCACCTAATTAGGTGAAGGAAGACTGAACAATTTTTATTTCTACTAATTTTGATAATGATTTTTTTTTATAGTGGTGAATTGTGGGTGACGGGGATGCTTTAATTTATTTTTTTAATTTTTAAATGTAGTTCTTTAAAAAAAAAATCTCAATACATTTTTAAGCAAATTTCACCTAATCAGCTAAAGCAAGACTGAGCAATTTTTATTTTTATAAA